CCCGCAAAATAAAGTTCTTCCCCAAATAAATCTCCCGCAATATCAAAATATATCTCTGGCCAATGAATCCTACTCCTTTAACCCTCCGAATTACGTGAATGCCATGAGTCTTAGGAAAATAATTCCAAGTTTATCTTCCAGCAAATAATTCCTTGGGCTTCAATTTCATCTCAAATTATTTGGCCCATCAAATGAAGTTCGCAAATTATCATGTGGCAGGCGTAATGGGCCAACTTTGATTATACTGTTTGTGGCCTTTAATTGGTCCGGTACTGGATGTCTCGATGATTGACCACGTAAAATTTTGTCCAACGTTGTATCGTCCATGAAAACACCAATGAGCTGAAAATAAAAATAAAAATATCAATGTATATGAATCCATCCAAATAAGAAATAAATCAAAAAATATAAATGTGCGAATAAATTAAATATATAAAAATACACTATTAAACATACAAAATACGCACATTTTTCGACCTATCAACGTGAGTTTGGTTAGTGATGGAGACGAGACTGCGATTGCGTTTCTAGATAAATATGATCGTCTCCATATTTATATTTATATATATAATAAGAATTAACCTTTTTCAGAAATAGTAAGTTAATGTTTGGTCAAAATACAGTTAGCATTAATTACATGTCATTTATAGTAACTTTTTTTTTGTTTGTTTAATATTGCCCTTAAATTGTGGAATTTGTTTGTTTGTTCAAAAATCTGTATTCGAATTATATGCTTATCCCATCTTCAATAATATACAATAAGATTTACAAATCTGAGTGTGTAATGAAAACCATTTTCAGGACTTTAAATTGTTATCCAATTAAACTCACTGTAAAATCATATATTTAGATAAAATCGTATTTACGGCTTATTGATTTTTATAAACCATATTTACTATTTATTGATTGTTACTATTGCATTGATAAGTGCAATTCAATATGTTTTGTAAACGAATTAAGAAGAAATAAGTACACAATAGTCTAAAATGTAAATTATTTAACAAATTGATTAGTTTTGATTAATCTACACACAATGAAATTAATTTGCATTTGAATAATATTCCAACATTAATGTGATTTTTATAATCCAAACTATCCAAAATACAATTATTATTTTCAACACGTGTATTATTAGATATCTCAAGTTACATCCCAATATTCTTTTACGATTCTAAAGAATCCAAATAAATGGAGAAATAAATCTTCAAGATAATTGGTCCTTAAATTCCTATTCCTATATTTAATGAGAATGTGATAAGTATAATCTTTTTTGCTCTCGGCAAATCAAACATTTTTGAATTTGAATAAGTTTCCAATATTTTGATAATTTATAGAATCTCAACTATCTTACATACTCTATTTGGCACAAAATCAAGCGGTTTTAATTTTTTTGAATTCGAATAAGTTTCCAATATTTTGAAACAAAAACATAATATTCACAAAGTTAATATGTGAATCGTTCTTCAGAATCGAACAAAACTAAGTTGAAAAAAAAAAGTAATGTGGAGGTGGATCTTATGAAAACCCTAACAAGTAGGAAAATCTCGTCTTTTATAGGTAAAATGGATTGTTCACGACCATTTTTTTTTACTCGGACCGGCTCGGCGGGTCGACCCGGAGCCGAAACCGGTCAAGGTGGGCTATTTGGACCGGGTAACAATGGACCCAGTCAAACCCGGCCAACCCGACCATGACCCGGTCGACCCGGGCCATTGACCCGGTCGGGTCAACCTAGTTGACCTGGTCTCTATAAATTTTTATTTTTTTAATATTTTTTTATATAAAAAATAAAACTATGTAAATATAATGATATAGTAAATATTTTTTGTGAGATACAATATTATTAACACTTAAATATACAAATTTTGTATAGAGAAATATTTATTTTTGTTACTTTTATGTATATTTATATGTCAAAAATACTATATATATAATTTTAAAAATTTTAAAATTAATTATCCAGTTCAGGAATTGACTCGGTCTGCCCGGGTCGATTTTCGGGCTGAGTTTAAAAACTATGGTCACGACAGTTGGTCATTTTGACCGATTTAGACCGTCCGATCACCGATTTCGTGCATGTGGGTCGTGTTATTGTAAATACTAGAAGCTTGACTTTTTTGCGTTATTTACGCTATTTTTTGTTGAATGAGAATCGCGTTTAACATAGAATATTTTAGATACTTCTTACATATATATGTTACCCCACATCTTTAATTTATAATTATTAGCTAATATTGTTTACTCTCTTATTTAATTTATAATTATTATTTACCCGTGCATCGTACGGGCTACACACTAGTTTTCCTTTATTAATTATAGTCTTTTATTATTATTTCCTTCTTTCCTTATTTTTAGTTGGTATGAGAATATTATTAGTTCCTTATTTTTAGTTGGTAAGATAATATTTATTTATTTGGTATTTTTTTGTTTAGCAAGTTAGAGTTTTTAGTTTTGAGAGCCTATATAAAGGACTCTCATGTTTTATTGTTACGGGTGAATTGATAATAAGAATTGATTGAGTTTGTGAGTTTTATCAAGAGAATATTTCGTTTATCCTTTCCATTCGTACGCTTCCCTACACCAGTTAGACTACGTCATTTCAATTTGAAAGTATGCATATGTATTGAAAAAGTATGATTAAAGTCGTATAATAATTAATAACATTCTTAGTGATTTTAATATTATGTCCAATTGGGAAAAGGAGCACATGGGTAATAAATTGAATAACAAAGATTGTGTGACTTAGAAATATACTGCAAAACAATTTGAATCTAGGCATGTGAATTGGTTGGTGAACAATGTTCTGTGATCAAGATTTTGTAAGGAAGCCATAAAAGTACACTTACACTTTAATCAATATATCACAACTACTTTATTGGACAAGTGGACCACCCAACTACTTTTAAACATTAATAAGTTGAGAATCAATTAAGCTGCTGCCCAATTCCTACTACAATAAATTTTCATTAAGCCTTTTTATTATTGTATATTTTCATCACTTAACTAGTTACAAATTGTCCTAACTTAAACCATTCTATCAATTTTGGTATGGAGCCATCGAATGACTTGACCTATGAAGCAATCAACAATTATTTACCAATAGTGCAAAAAAAAAAAAAAAATACTTATTTACCATTAGTGTATTGACACGTGTCCTACAATAAATACATTTTGGACATGTGTCAACACATGAAGTGGTGGATGATTCCATAAAAAAACCATCCGATGGCTTCATAGAATTTTTTACCATACTAATCACTTGTACTGAGAATCTCAAACACACAAATGTTACTATTAGACAACTTACTCGAGCCCACCCAACATACTTTACAGACAAAATTATGTGAAATGCCATGCTTCTTTATGGAATTATCCATAACTTTATGTACTGACATCTGTCCAATTTGCATTTATTGCAGGACACGTGTCAATACATCATTTGTGAATAACTATGAATGACTCCATAAGCCAAATCATCTGATGGCTCCATAGCAAAACCGTATTTACTAATTGGTAAGTTTACTAGGTAATCTAACAGTTAAACATATATATTTTTCAACTAATATTACAACTTATGATTAAAATACCATAATTTAAAAAATAACATAAACAATATTAATTAGCTCAAATCGACCCGACGTACTTTATGGTAAAATGTATACAAAATGACATGTTTTTTAGTTTTTAATTTTTGTAAAAATTGACTTACCGAATTTCTTGTGTGTCATTATGTAGATCAACCCATCGCATTATATAAATAAAAAAAATATATATATATTTATACTACAAAAGGCCATTAAAAAAGATAATAATGTTGTTAGAGCATCTCAAATGGTAAATGAATTGCTCTATTGCATTGTCACCTAGCCCCAAAAATTCAGTGTGACATTCAAAAATGTAGAAGTCTTTCTAGATGTGCATGACTTATTTTATATTATATCATTTATTTTATATTTTTTTTTCACTAACAAATTATTATCTTACATGTGTCAAATTATTCCACAATCGACATTAACTATAGGAAACGATTTTTTTATTTCCTTACTCCACACCATTCATTTCGAAATAGACATTCAACCATTGGAGATGCTCTTAAAGTGTAACTGTTATGTAATTATACTTTTTCACTAAAAATGCATATTTAGTTTATGAAATGCTATATTTTTATTTATATAGTACTTTTAAGAATGGTATTTGATGGTGAAAGTATATCCATGTTAAATACTAGGACTATCTAACCTCTAGCCTACTTAACATAAGAAATATTGTTGTAAAAAAGTATTAGACCAGTCTAATATAAAAACAACCAACCAATTATACCTACTAATAAGATAATTAATCAACCATTTCTCTGTTCCCGTCCAATTCTCCTGAACTAAATCACAAACCAACAAAAATCACTAAAATTAATAATCCAAAAGCCAAGATCTACAACTTAGCAAATCTTCAAAATAAAGAGAGACAACATAAAGTGAAACATTCTTTATAGAATAATAAAGGTAAATAATTATTTGCAACATGTACTATACGTGAATTTGGGGTTTGCAACCTAAAGAATTTTTTGTACTAAATTGCAACCTTTAATACATGATTTGTCTATATCGCAACCTCCGGCCATCGGAAGTTCATTTTTTACCGGAAAAGCAAGCGTGCGACACACATGTGCCAAATTTGAGGGCAAAAATGTCATATCTCTTCATCCTTATTATTTCATCCTACCTCTCACACACACACTCCCACATACATAGTCAAAATCAAGGGAACCGCAGTACCGCCGTCCGCCGCAGCGCCTGCTAAAAGAAGCCCTATTTTATCGCCGGCGGAGTCTCAGCAGTCAAATTCGACTTCAATCTGGACATATTTGTCGATATTATTGCCTCAGATATGAAGAAGAAAACAATCAAATTTCAAGATGTATTCGAAATTTCTCTATGCTCTATTCATCATTTGTCGAAATTATTGGCTCAGATCTGTAGAAGAAAGCAATCGAAATTTCCAAGATGTGTTCGAAATTTCTCTTTGCTCTGTTCATCTTCTTCCTCGCAGCCCCCATATTTCCTTCCAACAGCATCACTCTCTACGGCGGCGCTTTCTTGAACGCCGCCTCCATCGCCCTGTCAAAGGAGAAGAACTTCACCTTCCTCCCGCTGCCTCTGTTCTTCCCGCCGGCTCCACCGCCTCTATTTCGTGCCATTTCTCTTTCGCCGTCGACATGTTTGTGTTACATCAAAAGGCGCAAATTTCACGGGCCTCTATGTGACTACATGTGCCTCCCAATTGAGGAACCCTATTATCTCGTCGTGGAATTCAATTTCTGATTTGAATGTGTGTGAGAGTGTGAGAGAGAGAGAGGGGATGAAAGAATAAGGATGACGAGAGATGAAATAACATTTTTGCCCTCAAATTTGGCACGTGTGGGTCGCACGCTTGCTTTTCCGGTGAAAAATGAACTTCCGATGGCCGGAAGTTGCAATATAGACAAATCGTGTATTAAAGGTTGCAATTTAATACAAAAAATTTAAGTTGCAACTTCCAAATTCGCATATAATACATGTTGCAAATTATTATTTACCCGAATAATAATAATAATCATCATCATAATAATTCATTACATTATAATTAGAAGCTGCGGGCTACATGTTTTTCCCTTTTTCTTGCAGCCGCTTCAGCCATCCACACATTTTCTCCCCTTTTAATTTTCACTTTTTACTTAAAAAAAGTAAAAAGTAACAAAAACCCAGTGAACAAAAAAAACACACCAAGCACCAAACTTTTTTCCTACTATCAGCAGCACCTAATTTTACCTGCCTTTTAATACTTTAATAAAG